TGGATCTTCCCCAGGGGTAACAGTGTACTTTTTAATATTTGGGTGGTGGCTGAACGCGAACACCACGATTAATCATCAGATGGACACGGAGCGCTGAGTCCACTCATCATAAGGCTTTTTGGTCAAATCCCGTTGGTATTTCTTTTTTTCCTTTTCTCAATTAAATCATTTTTCTTTATCATGCTTCTCTGGTCATTGTTTTATTTTTTTTCAAAGTTGTGTGTTTTACAGTGAATGGATCGCTTTAGTTTCAATTGCGTCTGGCCAAGATTAGTAGATATATTGGTTATATGACGTATCCTTACCCTTTTGTTGACGAATATCCTGGTGTCATGTCCACTTCAGCCTTCATATATATGACCGATGTCTAATTGATACCAAAAGAAATTGTCTCCAACATACGGTAAAGAGAATATTTGCTTTTACGTGGGTATGTCAAAAATTATCAGCTCTTTCACCAGAACAGATTTTTTAGTTTTGTCACACTGTCTTTTATTCATGCGTGATTATAGTTGTTAGTATTATTGCCATGTGATCCAAGTTTGAGCTTGATGGCATCAGTCTTCTTGCTCCTGTTACAGTGTAAACATGGCCGCTCCGCTAGCAGTCCACACCAAGGAGGAACAAAAAGCAATGATACTATTTCTCGGATCCGAAGATGCGTCAGTGGCTGAAATTCACTGTAGGCTTTTAGAAAAATACGGTAACAGGGAAGTTCCGCGTAAATGTGTGTGTGTGAAAAGTTTGCAGGTGGCCGGACAAGTGTGATGCAAGAAGAAGGAGTAGGACGTCCGTCAACCTCCATCACGGATGAGAATATTATGCAAACTCGAGAGATGGTAATATCTAACCGGCGAGTTTTCATCGATGAGTAACTGTGTTCTCTGTCGATAAGGATCACTGCCGTTTGTTTTTCCTTACTGCACACTACTAGAAAACTGACGGGATCAGGCTCTAACTTCGATGACGTGATCACAAGAGTATAAGCACGCCCGAGCTGAAGGCAGTATGTCAGACCTAAAGATATATTATGCGAATTGCGGTAATTCTTTACTTAGCCCTCTGTCTAATACTCCCGTAGTATGATAGAACAACTAATATCTGCTAGCATCACGCATTATTACAGTGGAGATCCTGGAACCCACGTCTATACTGTTGTGACGCGTTTGTTCTGGGTACCTTTCTCTTGAAACAGTTATCGTGTATTTTTTTCTTATTACAATATACGCCATATGACATCCTCGTAGGGGATCCATTGTGCGGCAAAAGATCGGTTGGGAGACCTCATCACACATACATTAACCATCTGGAGGACCGGCCGCCAGCGATGGTTGACAGATGTTTGTAAGGAAGGAGCCAGGAGAATCCGAGAAGAATTCTCGACGTGATGATGATGATGATGATGATGATGATGAACGTTGTATTTTAGTGGATATACGTTTATGAGTAGACACCCTGTTTTTAAAACAGGCGTAATTACATTTTTCGGCCTGTGTTTTTTTTTTTTTAATCCTAAAAATAATAAAAGGCGTTTGAATATGTTACCCGCTTCGTAGCCGTGCTTTAGACTGCCTGGCCGCATCAAACATCACAGCCTATAAAAAGTTTCAAGCACGATTTTAAAGGAATGCATATATTTTTCTTAAAACTTCCAGAAAGTCTGTATCTGCTCGAAACTTCATGTAAGCAAAATATTTTTTCTAGGAATTGTTGGATTTTATTTTAATCCAACATTTTTATTCGAAAATCTTAATAAAATTCACATAATAATATAGAACACTTAATAACATTGAAAGAGAAAAAAAATATTGGACTAAATATAAAATCGTTGAACTACTTAGAATTTACTTAAAACTATATAGAAGTTAATATATATATATATATATATATATATATATATATATATATATATATATATATATATATAAAGGGACGCACTCATAGAAAGTCGAATTTTGTATTTTTACCAAGACAAGTAAGTAACAGAATTCGTTTATTAATACAGGGTAATAATACAGGTGTACATATATACATTACTAGCAGCATGACACGGCGTTGCCCGTGCTTCATTCAAAAATCATACGAATCATACAGCAATTACTATCACTTGACTTAAAATATTTTTGCCCTTCATCGCCTTTAAAAGAGTGCCCTTTGCCGTGCTGATGTTGCTACATGCCTTACTTCTTAAAGAATAAATAAAAATATACAGTATAATAAATAAGTAATAAAAAACAAGTAAAATAAATTAATCTAAATTCATCCAAATAAATAAATAAACAAATAAACAAACTAACAAACCTATCCCGATAAATTAATCATTAGAAACCCCCCACTCCCCCAAAAATAAAGATAATCAATCCAAATAAATAGATGAAGTAATAAACAAATTAAAAACTGTTCCCGCCGAAATAATAGTTACAATAAGCAACAACTATCAACCTCAAAATTGAATAAATAGTTTTAATTATATTCCCAAATGCAAACAAAACAATTAAATAAGCGATATAAACACATTTTTACTACGTTAATAAAAACACTGATTGAAAAAAAAAATTAAAAAAAATAAATATATAAGATAAGAAATAAAAATAAAAAATAAAAGTAAATAATGACAGGCAAAATAATTTAACCCAGATAAATAAACAAATAAACGACTTCCGGTAAAATAACCCCAAAATAGACTACCTACAATGCACCACTGACCCGTATATATATAAATAGCGAAGAAAAATAGCAGCACTCGTGGTCTGACGATTGCGTCTATCATGAAACAGACAGTCGCCTCTAAAATTCAACCTTCACTTTTATATTTACACACGCTCTATCTCTGATATTGAGCACTTTATCCCATAAATATAGCACACCTTAAGACTATATTTATTTATATATATATATATATATATATATATATATATATATATATGAGGGCAAACTGAACATTTGAGGATTGATATGTTTATTACTGATATGTTGCGCATACGTTTGTCATTATTATATGCCTTATGTACATGCATACATAAATGAACACACACTCGCGCTCGCTCACACACACACACACACACACATATATATATATATATATATATATATATATATATATATATATATATATATATATATATTCACCAAGGTTTGCCCAAAGACTTGTGAGTGAAATTAGATAGATAGCTGTTCTAGCGCGAAGTCACAAATCATCCTGACCGATAGGTTGAGTGTGGTGGCCTTGTATGTGTGCTGGCCTTGATTGCTGATCACTTTAGATAACACGGTCTCTCTCTGCAACTAAGCTCAGCAGGTGGGCTCTGTGAGTGTTGAACAAACACAAAAGTGCCTGAGTGAGCGTCTAAATTAGGGATTGGCTGGCAATACTAGTAGATGTGTATCCTCAAATACGAGTGGCTAGCTATCATATATATATATATATATATATATATATATATATATATATATATATAATTATTATCCTGGGACGATATTTTCACTTATCTGTGCTGCAGATCTCGTGTAGTCTATCATTGCAGTCCATATATTGCATCGCACGTCACTCTTGGTGAGAACCTGTACTAAGTAACCATCCGGAACATTGTCTTCTGCTCAAAATCATCTGTTTTTATTTAATCGATACTGCCAGCAATTACTGCTTACAAGCCATGATAAAAAATGTGTTAATTTTGGACGAAATGACCAATTAAACACAGAAAAGACTACAATTCCAGTGACTATGATTGAATATACGGTGTATTTGTATGTATCATTGGCGTGTAATCTAATTGCAACTGAATCTTTTAATATACTATGCCTTGTTTCTGCATCGTAGTGGAATGTGTTTTAATGTATTACAAGCTGGTTTAGCTCTTGAAAATAAATCAGGATAATCTAGTCAACACGGGAATCTGATTATCTGTCAGGCTATCACTGGCACCCGCTCGAATGCGAGCATCGAGGTCGTCATCTTCTCTCCTTATTCCCATTCTCCCGTATGGTGGCGGTGACGGAGATGGCTGTTAAGGCCCAGCCTTCTCCTGAAGAGTCATGAGCAGTTCTCACAGAAGAGTATGGGCGGTAAGCACGTCGCAGATCCTCTTCATATTGAGGGTTAGACTCGAATGTGTCGGACGTTCCTCGGATGATCCTCCGCCAGGAAGACCGATATGCAGCTACAGTTTTCCCAGTTTCCCAGGTTGATGTTGGCTCGTGTCAGGAGATATCAGACTACATAATTATATAGACTATTTACTCTATTCTACTTCTATTTAATGTCACCAACACAACTTCTCGGTCTATATGCCCTCCGGCTTCCTTATCGTGCTTGCGATCCCGGTAAGGTTTATAGAATTTAGAACTGGGGCAGACTGTTTTCGTTACGCCATCCATGTCTATGGATATCTCGTCTGCTTCTTATTTATTAATGTTCTTGCATTTGTCAGTAAATTAAATTAAATTCACAATTACTATGTCAATAATTCACAAACCAACGCTTTAACGATGGTGTTTTACCGTGAGGCAATAGCATAAACTAAACATTCTAAAGCTGTAGATTAAATGACAGGTTCAATATTGAAACTACTTGAAAGTTAACTGGTTTGATCGGCTCGTGATGAAGGCTGGGGGATACAATGAAACTTCGTGACAATAATTTCATAGAGAAAATATATAACATTTACATACGGTATCTGATATATGCCATTTGCTATTATTTCAGTTACATTATTATAATTAGTTGACTCGTTTTCTCCGGATAGCCAACCATTTGCAGCTAATTAAAGCCTCCAAAATATTCATACATTGCATGAATTGCTTTTTTGAAGATAATAATGCTTTAGTGATGCAAGCCTTCTTAATAAACCTTCAACTGGGGAGAGAATAGTTGGGTTCATGCCTTTCTCAACGGAATTTGCACGTAAGTGAATATTAAGAACCCAGCGGGAAATTGTAAGTCGGTTCTCCTGTCGACAATTCCGAATCGTTATCTATTGCAAAACCCACACATCCAAAAGTACGGCACCTGGTAATCACAATCGGTCACCCATCTATGTACTGATCAGGCTCATCATTGCTTAACTTTGCTGATCGCACGGGAACCAGTGTTTAAATGTGATATACTCATGAGCAGCTTCTTAAGAATTTAATCTCTCTGTCTTTCTCTCTCAATCTCTCTCTCTCTCTCTCTCTATATATATATATATATATATATATATATATATATATATATATGTATATTACATGTAATAAATCATAATAATATCAAATATTAAAACTGATACACAAACGTGTTCAATGTATTTATTGTATCAGACCATATAAATTACACAACAAAATCGAAAATTATCTCATATGGGTATAGATCGATTTCAGCCAGTACGTCAGTCTTATCCAACACCGGTAGTCTAGCACGAAGTAACAAGTCATCGTGACCGAGGTTTTGAGAGAGGTGACCTTTTTCAGACTGTTGATCCCGTCAGATATTGTCTTCTCTCCAGAAACTCTAACTAATGTCAGCTCAGCATAGTTGCAGTATGATCCACAATGCTGGATCGCCAAGGTGTGACTTAATAGAGTTTTCTTTTTTGTTACCTTTCCATGTGCGGTGTTTACTTTAGTCTATTGTCTCTTAGAATAACAAAAATTGATATATAGGTGTTGAACAAACACAAGTACGTCTGAGCATCTGCAACAATGACTGCCTAGCCGCCCTAGTAGACGGCTATCTTCGGATACGAGCAACCATAAGATCATTTGTAGCCCATTGTTATTCCACGTTTCCTGTTCCATTTACACAAAACTGCTAAGTTGTTTACTCTCAATTTCTTTCTGTTTCTTTTGATTCAATATATCCTGTGAGTATTAAATTCTCCAAGGCAACCTTCCTCATTATGAGTCGTAAAAATGTCAACTCTCTCTTTCTGTACACCATTTACATTATTCGAACTATTGTCCTCATCTTTGTCGCCATATTTATTACAACGTTTCGGCCGTTGTACGTGGTTGGAATGTCGAACTGAACGCTTTATTTCCCTCACTGGGTCGACTTATCTACTTCCACGTGCTATGTTTTAATCGATGTCAGTTGTCTGTTACCTCTTGTTAATTTCCCTCTGAAAGTTCTCCACTGCTTTAACCGGGCATTGGACTCACACCCTTTGGGTCCTGTCACTGGACCTAACAACGCCTTTACCATCAAGGACACATGACACAGTGGATGAAGTCGTTAGTTAGATCCAGTGACAGGACCCAAAGGGTGTGAGTTCAATACCCGGTTAAGGCAGTGGAGAACTTGGAGAGGGGAATTAACAGGAGATAACTGACAAGAGACGCCCATTAAATCATGGCACGTGGAACGACAAAAGTCTGCCCCAATGAGCGAAATAAAGGGTTCAGTTCGACATTCCAACCACCTGAAGAAGGCCGGAGCGTACAACGGCTGAAACGTTATGTACATAATACCTCATCTCAAAAATATAGACAGATGTCTCTTTCTGGTTCTAAATATACATGTTCATTTTACTTTTCAGTACGTCGTATGCTCAGCATCTTTCTGTAGTACCATTGTTTAATCAGGAAATCTGTTGAAAATTGTGCTGGGATGGTGAAGAATTTTATTGACACGTGATAGTTGCCAGATAGAGCTGTTCAAACATTGAATTAATATATAGGGAATATAGAGATGAAGGATGGACTAGCACATAATCTCTAAAGAGCTAGTGGATACTATGTGCACACGAACTGAAGGACCACATACTGTCGACACAGTGAGGACGGTGTAGGTGTATTTGAAGTTGAGAAAATTTACTCTCATTTGATCATTAGGCTGAGCCACCAAACGTCATGGAAGACTCAAATTTTGCAATCTACAGAAAAAAAGAGAAATATGTTATAAATAAAACGAATTTAAGTTCAGCAATTTAATATATATCTAATGTCTCCTAATTGGCGCGAAAATTTGTTTATACTTTATATAAAATATCAATGATGTGGAGGGAGAACATCTTTTCATATGGAACGATGTTCTCCTTCCACATAAAAATAGTTCTTTAATTTATTCATTTATATGTAGCTGTGGTTCACACTACATAGGGAGAACGACTCAAAGGCTGGATGACAGAATAAAGGAACACGTTCCAACAAAAATACGCACTCTTAATACACTCATTAAGATATTCTGATCAATATGTATGGGTCTTCCATCGCAGAACACCTAATAAATAGCCATAACTGTGCCACTAATTTCAGTGTGGACTCATTTACGATTCTTAGCAAGTCCCACTCGAATTACCACTTGAATGTGTTGCGGACTATTTTAAACAGAAGTATTTCGTACTGAACCTCCAAATAATTTCTATCTAAGCAATACCCCCCCACTAACACATATTGTCTATATATTTTTCGTAATAATTCTATTATAATTTATTAACCTCGATTGGCTCTGTTGAGCGAGGTTCGAAACCGGTTGTCTAGCCCGTTTGTCAGTTTTATTTTTTATCTCTTATCATCATGAGTGTTAATAAAAATAGATTTTATCTTCTCATAAAATTTTGTACCACACGTCAGATCTGATATATATATATATATATATATATATATATATATATATCACAAATGCAAAACTTTTCACAGGCACAAACGTATATGTATATATATCAAGGTAGATGAACTAATCACGAAAATAAATTGAATGAAGTAAATAAAGAATAATTTCAAAATTTCATTTATATATATACATACATGCATACATATATATATATATATGTGTGTGTGTGTGTGTGTGTATGCGTGTGTGTGTGTGTGTTTGTGTATGAAATTTAGAAAGTACTTTTTCTTTATTTATTTCATTTCAATTTATTTTCGTAATTAGTTAATCTACCTTGATTAATTGGCTACACTTTAAGAAAAAAAATCTCTATTTGCACTGGAACGTATCTTTGAATAGATCTTCTGTTTTATTCCTGCAAGGAAAGTCCAGACTCTCTTCAGACAACCATCCCTGAATCGAAATAGCAATTAATGGTAATGAAAATAACAGAAGAATTCTTCGGACTTTACAAATCTGAAACTTCAAGGTGTGACTTAATAGAGTTATTTTTCTTACCTTTCCATATTCGGATTTTACTTAAAACTATTTTTTCCTTAGAATGACAAAATTGATATTTTATATAAAGTATAAACAAATTTTATCGCCCATAACGTGACATTAGATCATTATTTGCTATATCAATTTCACATCAATAGAGTGATTATCGAAGTAGCTTTCCTGAAAGAAAGAACTACAATATTTTAAGTTTTACGATGCTGACAAGGAAATATTTACAAAAATAAAGAATATTTCGTTAGGATGGATCAAAGTCAGCAGTAAATAAATCAGTGTTGTTGGTGAAAATATATTTATTTTTCTATTAGATCATGTTATGTAAGTGATGGCAATTACGTGTAAAAAATAATATGTGTTCGGCGGCACACCTCCACTCGATGATCAAATTTTTTGATGACGTCTCTGCATAGTTACTCTTCGATCTCAGCAGTATGCCTTATTATCTCCTCTTTCAGCTGTTCAGTTGTTGTTGGCTGGTTGACATTGGCCTTACCTTTTAGATGAACCCAAAGGAAGAAATCTAAAGCGACAAGTCGCATGATCGTGGTGACCAATTGATTTCGCTGTTTCGAGAGCTGATGAAATCTGGGAACTTCTCATTGCATTTCTTTTTGATCGTCCATTTTCGTAATAGGCTTCAATAACTTTAATACGTTGCTTGATTGTTAATCTTTCCATGGTTGAGACTGTCAAAGTGTTAAGTTGTTAAATCTAAAAGAAAAAAAAATCATTAGACGCTTAAACTTAATTCACATTTAAATTTAGTCCAAGTTATTAGAACACTCTATATTAGTGTACACCAGTATCTGCTTCTGGTGTTTACATTAAAATATATCAAGCTTATCTCAGAAAAAAAACAACAATTCCCTGGTTTAAAAAAGGCTATAAAATTGATTATAAAAAAATATTAAATATTTGGAAGACATTTTAATGATGATAAGTTTGAGAATTGTTTTCGTAAGATAAATTTAATTCAAGCAGAAAAAAAAAACTTTCATGACACTGGTGAGAATAACTAAAAACTATCCGGATAAAATTCTACAAAAAAGAGGATGAGAACCGTTAAAAAGAAGATACTAAGGATAGTTCAAGAGAAAATACACCGGAATTGCAGAGAAAAAGCAAAGATCTATCGTGCAGTTTTCATCAAAATTTATATATAAAATTCTATGACTTCCGTACGTCCGTCCGTCACACCCTCTAATATAGCCATAGATTTACTGATCGGAACTAGATTTTCAGAAATGCAAACAGGAACATGGGTACAAACTATAGCTGGTTTTACTAGGATTCGTAGCGAAGTTTAATAAATTTTCATTATTTTTTTAATTAAAGATTTTATTCTTTAACTTAGAAAATACTCCCACTATTTTAAGAACTATTTAATTATTAAAATAATAAATACTTTTTAATAAAAATGCAATATTGTTTTGGCATATTGCTTTTTAAAGTTTTTTATATACAAGAATCCAATATCCATGTCGACCTGCGTTTGCGAGAAGGATAAACAATGCCATAAGCTTCATAAAGTTGGAATTTGCCTCCAGAAGAAATATTTACATTTGGCCAGTTCTATGTTGCATGCTCAAGAGTAAGAAATCATCAGAATTTATTCTTCGCTGTTAAAAAGCAAAAAAGGAAAAATAAAGTTTCTTCATAATATTGTTTGCTATGAAGTCCTATGAAATTAAATTAATTTAAAGAAGTTATTAAATGACATAGTAAGGTTTTTGTCAAAGTCTTTTCCAAACAAATCAGCTTATTCAAATTTCATCGATTTGTTCTCAAAATTGAACGAAATGTAATGTTTGCAAATCTCGACAAAAATGTTAGCGATAACGTCAAAGATATTAATGACTCTGAGGACTTCAGCACGTGTAATATAAAATATAAAAAATTCTTCAGTTTTTGCTATCTGGAATTTTTAAGGAGTGACTTACTAGGTTTATTTTAATTACTACTTATTTTAATTCATGTACGGATATAATTCACTGTAATAGAGAAACC